CATTTTTTCACACCTGCCTAAAACTTTTGCGCAGTACTGTATATTGTTACATTTTATATTTCTTAGATTTCAATATTTTGAGCATAATTAGTTTCCTTTGTAATACAATTTATATCTATGTCTTATTTTGCATTTAAATATATTTTTCTGAGAAGAAGGTTCATAAATTTCACCAAACTGTCTAAGGGGTTCATAGCAGAAAAAGGTTAAGAACATTTGCTCTAAACAATTGTCTGGACACAATTGACCTTTTTAAACTGCACAGAAAAATGAGAGAGGGAAGGGGGAATAGGAGAGGAAAGAATAAGAGATTGCTATTCACTGTTTACATTTGACTATCTCTGCTCATCAATGCCCTTTTTCTCTTACAAAATAAATACGGCAATGTTAAACACCAAAAGTAACAAGGCAAAAAAGAAATCATTGCAACTAATATCTTTGCCTAGTGGGAGGTATGCTTATAGATTTCTAATTTTAATAGTTTTTACAGCCATTTGGAAAGTTGATAGTACAATTTTTTGTACGCCTATTGCAAAGCAAGGCTAAATTCCTATTGTCATTCAGAATGAATAAAAACACTTAATAGCACTTAGGTGACGTTCAAGGATACTGAAATAGGTTGATCTGATTAAAATAAGAGTTCTAATTACTATTATCTTTATCATTCAAAACCATAATTAATTTTAAAAATTACCTTGATTTCAGGTCAGAGTTAAGATGCTTACAGTTTTCACTCCTGCTTGAAAAAGCATGGAAATGGCTGCTCCAATTTTGCACTACATAAGCTTTGTAAAGCCCTTGTACAATTTCATATATTGTCTTGGTTTTACAAATTAGGCTTCTTGTCCATTTGTCACTGAATTCAAAATGGATGTATCTATGCAGGCATTCAATTCACTCAGCTTTCCCAAGTACTTGATTCTTCTGGTGAATGTATCCATGATGCATCCCTTAAGGCCATTGTGATTCTTTACTACAGTGTACCCATTGTAGTAAATTTCAGGCAGTAA